CGCCAACAGAACCGACCCCTCGAAAAGCTCGACCGACTGTGTCACGCAGCCACTCAATCAAAGCCCGGGAGAAACAAAAGGATCAACAGTTGGTTTCAGCTCGTATTTTTTTTAGAGCAATGAAAGTGAGGTCTGGATACCCCACTTTCCATGCGATCGCTCGACGAGTCATTACATCGGTTTTTAATTATTTCTTTCTCGGTCCGGTTTCTTCCGACGGGTTGGCATTCGGAGGCATTAACGCGAAAATACATGGTCCCAGGTCTAGGTCCCACCATGAGGGAGAACGCAAAAGACTGTCTAGATTTAGAAGGGTGCTATCCTACTGTTTTGCGGAAGAACGACACATGAATATCAGAGGGTTGCAAGAGGAGTTCAAACCACCGCCCCCCCCCCCCCCCCNGAAGTAGGATGAAAGGTGGGTAAGAAAAATGTTTCAAATCCACATTTAAACAAACTAAACTTTAGAATGTTGGAGTTTTTTTGCCAACGTGCGTTAAAAAATTCAGCATATACCTCGAGTTTTTCATTCTCCAAATCCAGTTTTTCTTTTCTTGGTATTTCAAGAAATTTTGTAAACTAAACTTTCTTGAAATACCAAGAAAAGAAAAACTGGATTTGGAAAATGAAAAGTTACAAAATACACGAAGAATATATTTTCGATACGCAGGTGCTGACGTTTTTGAATGCAGTTTCGAAGATTTTGCGACTATCAGATTGTCAAGCCCTTCTTTGCGCGCCTTAATGTTTTCAGGGCCGGATTGAGGGGGTGGCCACATGGGCCGCGGCCCATGGCGGCAAATGTTGTAATTTTTTCAAATGTAGGTATCAAGAAAAAAATCTGATTCAGAAAAAAAATCACAAATGAGGAAAGGTGAAAAAAACTCTCATATCCGGGGAGTTAAAGTATGGAAATTTCTAATTTGTTCGTCTTTTGGTGATACAAGAGACAGCGCCTTTCATTAGTCTAATTGAGAGAGAAACCAAACACACAATTTGGCCTGGAGCGGCACGGCGCAGAGAGCGGATGGCGAGAACTTGAGATGGAAAGGAGAAGCCCTATCGGCGCGCACTGGTCAGCATGGAACACTTATTAGCGCCTACAAGACTCCATGAATACTTCACGCATTGCGTCAAACGTAGTGCGGTCAGCAGCGGTTGGCGTGAAACTCATAGTGCCTACAAGAATGCATGAATACTTCACGCATTGCGTCAAAAACAGTGCCGTCACTATTGGTCAGCAGCGGTCAGCGTAAAACGCATAGCGCCTATAAGACTGTAAGGATACTTCACGCATTTCGCCAAACACAGTGCGGTTGGCACGGTGGCGGAAATTAAGATCATTAGAGAAAGGTCTACGGAACTTAATTTTCGAGCAAAGTTCCGTGAACTTTTCATATTGTTGACAAGGCTTTCACAAAAAATGTGCCAAACGCGAGTAAACGCGACTTATGTACCCTTCCTCCTCCGGCACGTTCACCTGATGGTTATTTTAATAATGGGACTGTAGTGCTGCATTCACTGGTATTGCACTTTTAGCGAATGAAACACACGAATTAGCCTCTTTTGATTAATTGATTTGTTAACGATTCCTTTTAGCACGTTACGTCAAATTGAGAGTTTTCAATGCCGTTTTCAATCAAACACGCTGGAGAAGCACAGTTCCGCAAAAATAAGTGAATCTCTACTTTTATGTTATTTATTTATTCTATCTGTTATTACTACCGCGTCCATCAATGTATGTTACACCCGTTAAAAGTGTGCATTATCAAACCCAGAAGACCAAGCCTAAAACCGGTGTGTAAGATAATCGAAGAGGAAGAAGCTATTTGAAGTGGGCTGTGGGCAAATCGATCAAGGACCATTAATGAACAGGTGGAGGGAGCGCGGTGGGCGGGGTGGAAGCGTAAATTGCAGGGAAACATCGGATTCTCTATTTTGGGAAATGGACGAATGAGGAAATAACGAGCGGCCATGTCAAGAGCAGCGGAGTGTGACCGTGTTGTGGTCACACCGACATGACTGCGCTGCGAATGGTTAAGAACTGTATCACTCATACGTGTCACTGGCGGATTCAGAAATAAGTTGGCAACATTATTTCCTCTCCATTTAAACCTGTGGAAATGTATCGGTTTTCGGAAAGGCGGGTGCTCCGTCAAGAGTCGATAAATCAACACGGGTTTGAATGGAGGAAAGCAACTGTTGCTAACCTGCTAGATTTAGAAAATTGGCTGGGAAGTTTTAAAATTACGATGAGCACGTTAAGAGCGTGAGGAGAGGAAAACATATTTTTGGACTTGTTTAATTTTCAGTTTCGCATTAAGAGTCTCCTGACGAAAACTTGTTAAAATTGAGTCACTTGAAATAATTGAACAAACGCGGTGTTTTGGCTTGGAGGAAGCATTCAAGTTTCCGCACCAAATTTCCCGGATTTTCCATGGTTGCGCGAAATTTCCTGACTTTTTCCAGGTTTTCCCTGGACAAGAGCCCCTTTAAAAAGTCCATTATTTTCTCCCTCAGTCCATGGGAACCGACCATTTCAACTCCATACTCCTTCTTCGTCGATCACTTTTGCCCGCGAGGGCCGATTCTTGAAATTGATAGACAAAACCATATACAAAAAGGACATAATGAGTATGGATCGATCCTGCTGGTTAGTTTGGGTGGTTCTTATAGACTAAGGGGGTAAATGATGGACTAATTATGGGGGTTCTAGTCCAGGGCAAACCTAGAAAAAGTCAGGAAATTTCGCGCAACCATGGAAAATCCGGGAAACTTGGTGTTTAAACTTGAATGCTTCCTCCAAGCCAAAACATCGCGTTTGTTCCATTATTTCAAGTGACTCAATTTTAACAAGTTCTCGTCAGAAGACTTTCAATGTGATACATAGAAAATTAAAGAAGTCCAAAAATACGTTTTCTTCCTCTTTTCACTCTCTTAACGTCTAAATGTCAGAGACCCCTTGTCCCTCGTTAGTTGCCGTTAGTTAGTCTATTACCCATCTCCTTCGTCCATTGCAACCACCCGCCTCCACCGATAGGATCTGTCCCTCCACATCCCTCTTGTCTTCTTTCTCTGTAGCTTTGTCTATCAATCTCAAGGATCAGCCCGCTGAACACCGATTTTTACGTGTAACAAGGCCTGGATACACGCTCAAATTTCCATCAATTTCCGATCAAATGGTGACTGGTGCGCACCATCTACCATCAAATTTTTGCGGCCTGCAAAAATTTGACACCGTCGTTTTTGTCATCATTTTAATCAGAATTTGACAGAAATTTGAGCGTACATCCAGGCCTTTATGAAGCGAACGATATGCAGTCGGCTGACTTGCGATTTGCGAGAGTAGCCACTAGAGCTTTGTGAATCTCGCGCGGGAGGTCCCTGGAGCGGATGCACGGATGCTGGCTCGGTGCACGGTGCAGCGCAGCGGTGGCGGTGGCGGTGGCGGCGAGGTGGCGAATCCTCGCTCGGGCTGACTCCTCCCACGAGGCGCGTTTTGTCACTCCCCGCGAGGCGCGAGGCCACTCGGCGCGCCGGCCGCTGGGGCCCCCGCTCCGGCCGGTGGCGCTGGGGCTGGGAGCTGGGAGCATCCTGGCCCAAGGCTCATAGACTAGATTCGATTAATTACCATCCGAGCCGACCCGGCGACTAGTTGCAACTTCCAACTCCGTCCCCGCCCCC